CTTTCTGGGCGGTTTTGAGGTCCCCTGGGGCTTCAAGGGTGCGGCCAGAACTGTTGCTCCCCACCCACCCACCCCAAACCGGCAGGACCGGGCTCGCGGGGGATGTGTTTGGGGAGGGTGCAGTATTTGGCGTGGCCGCAAGGAAACTAATTAATTTGCCTGGCGAAGGACCCAACCATATGCAGTTGTGAGTGCCGCAGTTGTGAGTATCGTCTTCGGTGGAGCTCCCTATGGGGCCACGAACCGTGTGAGAGATGTGCAGGGATTGCGGTGGAAGCGCATGCAAACCTTGCCGCTGGAGCATTCTGCGGAGCTCCCTATTGGGTCACCAAATGTGTGAGATATTTGCCGAAATGGGGGGTGGAACCGCATGCGAACCCTGCCACTGAGGCCTTCGGTGGAGCTCCCAATGGGGCCACGAAGCGTGTGAGGGGTATGCCGAAATTGGAGGTGGAACCGCGTGCGAACCATGCCACTGGGGCCTTCGGTGGAGCTCCCAATGGGGCCACGAAGCGTGTGAGAGATGTGCCGTAATTGGGGGTGGAACCGCGTGCGAGCCTTGCCACTGGCGCCTTCGATGGAGCTCCTTATGGGGCCACGAAATTTGTGAGGGGTGTGCCGAAATGGGGGTGGAACCGCAAGGGAACCCTACCACTGGGGCCTTCGGCGGAGCTCCATATGGGCCACGAAACATGTGAAGGGTGTGCCGAAAGGGGTGGTGGAACCACATGCGAACCCTACCACTGTGGGGCCACGAAGCTTGTGAGGGGCGTGCCGAAATTCGACGTGAAACCGCATGCGAACCATGCCACTGGGGCCTTTGATGGAGCTCCCTATAGGGCCACGAAACGTGTGAGGGGTGTGCCGAAATGGGGGTCGAACCGCCAGGGAACCCTACCACTGGGGCCTGCGGCGGAGCTCCATATGGAGCCACAAAACGTGTGAGATGTGCCGAAATGGGGGATGGAACCGCATGCGAACCCTGCACGCTGCCACTGGGGCCTTCGGTGGAGCTCCCTATGGGGCCACGAAGCGTGTAAGTGGTGTGCCGCATTGGGGGTGGACCTGTATGGGAGCCCTGCCACTGGCGCCTTCGGCGGAGCTCCCTATGGGGCCACGAAGCGGCAGCGCGTGAAGGGTGTGCCGAAATTCGGGTGGAATCGCATGCGAACCCTGTGGGGCCTTCGGCGGAGATCCCTATGGGGCCACGAAGCGTGTGCGAGATGTGCAGAAACGGAGGTGGAACCGCATGCGAACCATGTCACTGGGGCCTTCGGCGGAGTTCCCCGTGGGGCCACGAAACGTGTGAGGGTTATACCGGAATTCGGGGTGGAACCGCATGCGAACCTTGCCATTGGGGCCTTCGGTGGAGCTCCCTACGGGGCCACGAAGCGTGTGAGGGGTGTGTCTAAATGGAGGTGGAACCGCATGCGAACCCTGCCATAGGGGCCTTCGATGGAGCTCCCTGTGGGGGCCCAGCGTATGAGGGGTGTACCGAAATGGGGGTGGAACCGC